AACAAAAAATAGTCGTTTAATTTGATTGCGACAATTACAGAACTATTGTTTGGATTTTTGCAATAATTACATTCTGCGTGCTGTTGTTGAAATCCAGAATATGACCAACTTTTTCAAAGTATTCTCATATAGAACTTCGAGAAGGCATAATATTTATTAAAAACATAACATTAATGCATTTATTTTTCTAATTTCTTTATCGAAGTACAAATCCCTTAATTAGTGATGGTTTATAAATTGTGTATGAGGATATCGGTTAGTTACAATACGCATAGGCACATTTCTAAGCATACCAAATGAACGAATATGTATAAATTATTAGATCTTTTAATTATTGTTATATACGTATTAAAAAACGCTTATCTTTGTTTAACTACCCCAATCATTAAATAACAAATTATTGCATTATAATTCCAATAATTATGACTTATTTTGATTTTGCAGCTGATTACATGTAAAATTTCGAGTATTCGCTTATAAGCCAAAGTTCGATGTAGAGAATAAATAAAAACCTTTCATATACAACAAAAATGTAGCCATCTGGTAATTTTTATATCAATCATTATTTCTTCTTAGTTTTAATACTTCATAAAAGATCATTAATTACATGTGCTATCAAACATATGCTTTTATTGTTCAATATTTGTCAACTTTTTAGATCATGCATTGTTCATACTATCAAATATACTGTTGAGACAATGTGATTTGAGTATAGATTTGAACTATGTTACATATCTATGAATACGATAGATTAAGGATACACATATTACGAAAAAACATATGAGAACAGGTGATAATATGGAAAGTGTGATTTATGAAATAAATTCTATCAAATATTATACTTGGATAGACTAAATAAAATTTACAAGTTAGAGCTTGATTGTTTCTTTGCAAATATTCGATTATATATAATGGATGACAAAGAGAGCGAGATCACGGGATAATTCAAAGAGTTTGTGAAATTAAAAATATTGCACTTGTAACATGTATATTGCGATAATTCAATCTAACAAAAACAATGGTAGCAGTTTAATGAAAATATATGCAAATAGAACATAAAAATGGTTTCATTTTGATGAAATGAAAATGTATCTCAAATATCTAAAAATAAATGTGCGTCACCGCTGGAAATACTGTGTCACAACACCAGCTTCAATCTTTTCTTATTCTTCACAGGAACAATCACCATCATGATCTCCATTGCCATTCACAGCTACTCGATAGCATATTATGAATGACTAGGTACAAACGATTACTTGATAGTAATGCATGTCTGCACAAATATAAAGTGAACTGGAATCAAATGCTTAACATTGTAATGAATGTGCTCACTGTCAAGAGAATGAATACTGCGATGAGTATTTAGTTCACACTACTCATGATTGTAATAAAATGTACTGATCATTAATGTAATAAGCCTACTGTGACTGTTTCAAAAATTACAAACGAGTTATTGTCTAGCAGAGATAAAGATATCGACAATCTAACAAAAGAATGTACCAAATTTGATTATAAATTTTTTATTATATTCGAATCGATTCGTTTTGAAAGATTTACCAACGTTGAATAACTTACAAAAGGTGGTTTCGGGTCAATTTATAAAGTAACCTCTGTACCATTGTATTCTGAATACTTTATCACGTGGTGTCATAAAACAAATAAATTTACAGGTAGTAAATTATGTGAAGTTGTGTTGAAATCATTGCACAGTTTAAAGCAAATTATTTCAGATCTTATAAACGAGGTAAGGATAAACATTTTCTAAAGTGAAAGTGCCCTTTTTGTTTATAACAATTAAATTTTTCAAAAATAGGTTCAGATTGGGTTTAAATGCTGTATTAATGATTACAAATATTATGGAATAACTATAAACGCAGTTACAAATGAATACTCAATAGTAATGACTTATGCGGAACATAGTGATCTCTGTAAATATATTAATTCTAACTACGAAAAATTATATTGGTATAATAATAAATTAATATATTTATATTATATTATCAAATGATTTAACAATAATTCACGAAGAAAAGTTTGTACATGACGTTCATCCTGGAAAAATATTAATGTTTGAAAATCCATATATTGCTGATTTTAGGTTAGTATTTCAACAAATATAGAAAAGATCCAACAAAGAAATTTTGTGGAGTATTTCCTTATATGAGTCCCGAAGTGTTAAATGGAAAGCCGTACGCTAGCGCTGCAGATATTTATAGCTTTGGAATGATTGTGTACGAAATTGTAACAGTTGAACAACCATTTGGTGAGCTAAGCCATGATCATGTTCTTGTATTAGACATCTAGAAAAAAGTGCCGTAGAGCACTGCCTATAGTACCCGGGGTATTATTCAAAGCTCTCTGATCAGAAAGTTGTATAGTACCCGGACGGAGATACTAACTATTAGGGATACATTACAAAGGGGGATACTTTATAAGAGATATATTTCTTTATTGATAAATTTAGGATGATTGAATAATGTATTACAACTTTAACCTCAGAAGTAAAAAATTCACATGTTATTCTAAATACATGCATTTTGTTACTTTTCTTGATACAAATATGATTTTAATTTGTTCAAAACATGTGTCAAAAAAAAGCAAATCAAGTAAGTTGTTTTTTATTAATAAATTATTAGATAAGAGTAAGACTCTTATTATTATAAACTATAATAGAATGGTCCGTGGTAACTTACCAGCAAAACGTGCATGGTTTACTCAAAAAAAGCAGCATCAGTGGTTTGCCTGGGAAAAGTTAATGATCATCACATATCATGAACATGGTCATATTATTCATTTTACAGCTGAAAAATTTGAAATAGAGCCAAAATAACTTTGTGATTGGTGAGTAAAAAAGAAGCAACTTCAAGTGGTAGCTCCTCACATTTGTCGACTTAGCAGAGGTGCAGTTTAAAAACTATTACCCAGTATATGCTCCAAGCAAAAGCATGAAATATGAGACAAAAATCTGAGCTTTAAAGCTTATATCCAGGTATTCAATATGCTCCTTCAGTCAAAAGTGGTTTGATAAATTTTTAACTTATCATAAGTTAATAAATTGATGTCAAATAACTATTAGATAACATCTTCCAGATGACTATATAGAATAATGTTAAGAATTTTTCAGCTTTGTTTTTTTTTATCACCAACAATATGAATACCCACTGGTATTAATTGGGAATATGGATGAAACACCAATTATATTTAATATGCTTACCCGCACAACTATCAATGAATGTGATACCAAAACAGTTTCCATTATTTCTACAGGCCATGAAAAAAGTAACTTTATAGTAGCATTATCCTGTCTTGCTGATGGAACCAAGTTACCTCCAGTTATTATATTTAAACTGGTCAATATACCATGGCAACAATTTTTTAATGATGTTATTATTTATGTAAATCCAAATGATTAAATAAAGGAAACTGAAATGTTATGGTGGATTTAATATGTTTGGTGTAAGTGTGCACGAGTCAATAATCCTCAGTTACTTTTGGTTTTAGATTCTTTTTCAGCACATATTACACATGCAGTAAAATAATGGTTCAAAGAAAAAAAACTGATATGACAGTAATTCCTGGTGGTTTGACCTTATAACTTCAACTATTAGATGTGGCTCTTAACAAACCTTTCAAAGCTAAGGTAATTAGATCAATATCTAGTAATTTTGTATATATATTCTAATATTTTTTATTTTTACACAGATTCATCATATTTATAATGAATGAATAGTGAATGAGATTAAAGAATACTTCTTCTGGCAAAATCAAATGACCATCCTATACAACATTTGCTGGATAGGTGAAAGAAGCTTGAAATGAAATCGAATTCTATTAATTCAAAAATCATTCAAGTATTGTGGCATTTCAAATGAATTAATAGATTAGAGGAAAATTAGTTCTTGATTTTTCACGTGTACAACCTAATAGTACTAATACTATTAGAATTCATCTTCAACAAGAAAGTGAAGCACATGATTCATATAGTAATCATGAAGATAGTCATAATATAGAAGAAGATAGTCATGATATTGATGAAAGTGTTAATGAAAGTTATGAAAATGAAGCAACATATATTAATAGTTGGGAAGATTAAATATATAACAATAATTATTGAATAAATATATAACATACCTGGGTTTGCATCAGATCTGAAATGATATAATCCAGCCAGTTTGCATCAGTCAATGATTTTTTGATTAAATACATGTACCTGTTACAATTTTGTATTGACATCTCTGAACTTATAAGGGAGTACACCATAAATTTCTTCATTTTCATTTTTAATTTTTTTTTGCATTGCATGACAAATCATTTCATATTGTCCGGTTTTACCTGGTTGTGTCATGCATTGTGCATTGTAAGGTTTACTTGGGTTGTGTTTTGCACATCGTGTTGCCTATATTGTACTGTATAATAAAAATTGAAGAATTTCTAATCTATATTTAATATACTCCTTCGCCCAAAATACCCGGGTCTTATACAAACACTACAAGCTATAATTTGAAAAATATCCGGGTACTTTACAATTTTCCAAAAATTGATATCGTATGTACCCGGTCTTATTCATGGGGGGATATAATAGCAGGGGGATACTATAGGCAGTGCTCTACGGTACGACCTACAATACCAAATAATATTCTGGTTGGTAGTACAAATTTATAATTGAAAAATGTTGGGATCCGATTCCAGAAAACAGATCAACTGTTAAGGATCTGAGAGACTTTATCAATAGTATCTTCTACACCATTATGAAGATTATGGGGAATTGAATACTTTGTATTTTTAGCACTACAGCTCTATAGAATATCCTAAAACAGAAGAAGAAATTAAAGAGTGTATTGAACTAGAATGCTAAAACTAGATGAACAAATAGGATCGCATGAAAAATGCCTACGAATATAAAGAAAAACAACAAATTCACTCAAATGCAATTTACACCAGTCGGATATTTAATATTTAATTCAAAATTAATATTAATCCCAATTGCTAAGGTGCGCACAATTATTTTTATATTCAATCAAGATGACATTTCAGATTAATTTTAATATATCACAAATACTTAGGCTCTGCAAGTGTTAGTTTATATTTTCCAAACGAAGGTAAACTCACATTATAATTGACATTATTGTTATCAAATTTTTTAATATTAGTTTCATTGGTTTCTTTTATTTATGGGAAACAGGCTTCAATATTATTATATCACACGAAATTGAAAAAAATGAGGATACGCCTGAATAACTTGCAACTGATTTTACAAAAATAGTGGTTTCAGCTTCGTGTGATTACGCGTAAGTTTATTACCATGCTGCTATTTTTTTAAAATGTGTATTGTTTTGTATTTCAAAGAATAATAAAAATTAATTTATTTTATTATTACGCAGCGCAGTTTATAATTTTAGATTGGCGTTTTTTTCTTTGTTTAATTCCGAAACAGTGATTTAATGAAAATGATAACATAAAAAAACAGTGATGATTTATTTTGTTCATAAATGTTTACCTTCATTTGGAACACACAGACTAACACTTGTGAATCTAATGTCTAATATATCTAATAAATTATCTGTAGGATTTGGTATGTTGAAGTAAAGATTTGCCTCGTGTAAATTGCATTTGAGAGGTTTTGTCGTTTCTATTTATATTATAAATGAATTTTTTTACATTTTCGTTCACCCATCAAGTTTATCTAATTTTTGCTTTTCTGGTTTAAAAACACACTTTCTATATCTCTTTCTGGTTTAGGATATTTTAATGAGTTGTAGTACTGAAAATATAAGGTTTTCAGTTCATTTGTATGTACCCATTTCTGATAGATTTGATAAAACCTTAAAATTACTCAGCGGTTTGTCTGTTTTCTGGAATAGATCCTAACATTTTTAATAATTCATTTATATAATCCGGGACACTATTTGGTATCGTAGGTCGTATTCCTTTAATGACGAAGTCTAATATAAGTTCCGTATTATGACACCGTTCCCTAAATGGTTGTTCACCGGTTGCAATTTCGTATACAACCATTCCAAAGCTATAAATATCTGCAGCATTAATGTGTGACATTTTATTAAGCACTTCTGTGCTCATATAAGAAGTACTCCAAAAATTTCTTGGTTAGATTATTCCATATTTATTGGAATGTTAAGTCCAAAATCAGCAATACACTGCATGTACTGATATACGCATTCATATCATTTGAGGATTTCATTAATAAAATCCTTGGTCAAATTATCTACATTATCTTTTATTTTTATAGAGCTAACACAATAATATCAAGATCAAGTCTTTTACATAATATAATCATTAGGAATACAACATAGACTTTTAGTGCAAGTTTATACAATTATAACCTTAAAAGTTAATATTTTATTTTTCAGTCTTTAATGATCAAAGAATTTAAAACCGCATTAAAGACACATTGTTATGAATTGAGATTTAAAAAAATATTCACCATGTCAACATCAGCGCTTGTTTGGACTGCAGGAGAGGGGATATCAACAGGCAAACCAATAGCTATGGGTAATAAAATTACAATAACAATAAGAAATATGAGACAGTAATTATATTGGATATTTATTTTTGACATTTTGTGCCGAAATTTTTTTCTGAGAAATTAACTATGCTCTTTTATTGTTAAGAAAGTTATGATCATTTTTTACATGTACAATCCAGAGATAGCATTATAATTCAAAGCTATTTTTGCTAAAATACATTCAACTCTGGGCTGAGTGAGTGAGCAGTGAATGACATTGAATACAACAATAAAATGACATTAATAAAGATATCTTAACCACAACTTGATTTTAGCATAACGGAACGTGTAAAATCGACCTCTAAACTCTAAGCAAGCTTTTTCGTTCAAAATAGAATCAAGGCGCTCTAAAGCGCAGTTTTGGAAATGAAATAATTTGCGTCTTTTATAGGCCGGTAAACTTTATATCTATAATTGGATATTCATCAAATACCTACGCCAAAAATATAACAAATTATCACTTTGGGCTGCAATATCTCAACATTCAGTGTCAGATTTAATCAGAATATTATTATTCGATTCGTCTCAGCTAGGCAAATCGAGTAGCAGCATTTCTCGAATTTTATCACTGGATGTCAAGAGCCGGATCATTGAATGTTGGGTAATAAAGTGACTGACGTAAAAGTTTTTTTGATGAACATTAAGTGCACGATATAGAATTTTCCGGCCTAAGGAGTGTTTATATGTTGCTCTTTGTGCTCGGAGAAGGTTGTCACATTACACATGAGTTACGGAAAGTTAGTACCTTTATTTTTAATAATTATTATTTGTAAATTATAATTAGTATTAGCGTAATTTAGCATTACGGCGGATAAGTACATGTAAATGAAACGAAAAGTCTGCCTCAAAATGCAATATCTGCATTAAATACGAAAGAACCAAAAAATATATATCAGGCATGTATTTTAACTTTTAATTCACCATTAAAAAGTGATGATACGCTTTATACTCATGTAGTCGATATTTAAATATACTAAATATTACTAGATTGTGTAAAAAATTAATTATTATTTACAAAATTTCTGAAAGTTCTTTCTAACTATCATTTAACACCTGGTTTTCGAAAAGCGCGTTGTATAAAGATTTATAAAATGATCATTATTATATCATATACATGTAAGTATTCTTTGCTTATTCGTGTTCCATGAGAAACAAAGTATCTACGGGATGCGTGGAATTCATTAGCATCATTCGAAATATTTATCTATATAAAGACTTTAAAGAAAAGGGATCATAAAGAGGAGAAGATAGTGACGACGATTGAAGAAAGCGATAAAGATGAAGACAAAAGTATATTTTAATAATTTATGAAAGAAACTACATGTACACGCCCCGGTCAAAAGTGTCCGACCACTTTAAAACCGGATAAAAATGCACAAACTTCAAAAATTAATTTCTTGACAATTTATAAACAAACATTATAAAAAATTTATATCATTTTATTCAGAACAACATGAATTTTATTAATATCTAGTTGAATTTCCATGGCTATCTAATACTGTTTGAACCCTCCTTGGCAAACTTTCAACTAAATTTGTTAAAATTATTATTCAAAATCAAAAGCAAAAATTATTATTATTGAAATAAATAAGAAATCTCATGTTAGAATAA